GAACCAGTGAGCTCACTATAAACTGGGCTGTAGACAGACTTCATATATAATTAGGCCACAAAGCCCCAGCTCTAATGGGACTAGGTATCTAACAGGACTTCAGGTTTCAATGTCAGCTCAATGTGTCTGTAAGTCCTCAATCTGTGTGCACATACTACTTTTCCCAGTGTTTAGTCACATGAACAAATAGCTATAAGATCCCTCTGGACAGGACAGGGCTATCACAGTTAAGACTTGTCATGGTGTTGCAAGGTTCTTCTTTCTTTGGACAATCACCTCTCAGTCATTGCCTTCTGGGTGTGAAAATTTCCTCAGGAACTAAGCAATGAATCATGAATTTCTTTTTGGGAAACCACTTTCATCCTCTTGCCTGTTTCTAATTATAAATGCTAAATGGCACTTTGATTGGCTGACCTTCTATTTTTTTTTTCCCCAGGGACTATTATATTTTATTAACTATTTCTGTCTTCTGGGTCATGACCCCTTGACAGCTATTTTAATGCTGTTGAAAGTTACAATAATGGCAGCCCTCTGGCTTCTGGCAGTTAAGTATTGTTACCTGGCCTCTATCTTTTTGGGGTGCTATCATCCCTATTGTTATTAATAAACCTAACTCTGTGACACCTTCAGCCCTGCCTGCAGGGGCAGCCACTACTAAAGTCCTTAATGATGTTGATGCCTCTCTCCCCAGAACTTTCTCAATGGCCTTGGAAACTGGGGTGTTCTCTGCGCCCTGTGGTAGACATAATTCTCTCATGGAAATTCTGGCCTCACATTATGAATCCACGGCAGCATCTGTTTCCAGCCATTTTTATAATTCTTCCTCTTGCTCTCTGTCTTAACAACTTCAGAATTTCTATTTCACTCAGTACGGGCCATTACTTTCTCTAGAAAGCTAACCTTATAATGATGTTAGATCCCATGACCCAAGAAAGTATTCCAAGTTAAAGAGGCTCTCTCTCACCCTTTACCTCTTACCATTTCTCAATTTCTCATCCCTCCTTAGGAGGACATAAATAGAACGTTGAAATAACCAGCCAACACAGTTATCCTCATAGATACTTGTTACGGTTTAGCTATGAAGCATCCCCCAAAGAATCATGTACTGAAGGCTAATCACCCCATGCAGCAGTGTTCAGAGGAGGGGCTTTGGGGAAGCAATTGGATCATAAGGACCCTAACCTTATCAAAGGATTAATCCACCATGGCTGGATTAATGTTTATGTCTCCTGAGTATCAGACATCAAGTCCAAATTAGATAAGTGTTCTAAAGATGTTTTGAAGTAATCGTCTATGAAATATAAGGGAGAAAGGAGCGGGAGGAGAGATTTCGAAACACAAACCTGGTCTGACACTTGTGAGATGGAAGAGGGAAGGAGAGGAGAGCATGTAGGAAGAGCCCAGTCTGCAGTGCAGCTCTAAAAACGTCTTGACCAAACAACCGGGAAGTTCCCCAACAAAGATGCCCAATAGAGAGAGGCCTCTTGTATCAGGCAGATATGGCCCAACCCTTTTACCCCATATTGTTAGGCAGTGCCTGTGAGCAGTGTGGGGAATGGGGTGGGGTGGGGAGAATGATCTCGGGATGAAGGCTGTTCTGGGCGACACACCCCCACAATCAAGTGTTAAGTGCAGAAGCAGGAAGAAGAGATGCCAAGGCCAGGAGGCCAGGTGGGAAATGGAAAGGGAGCCTGCCCAGAAGGCTTATGGGTAGTAAGCTAGAGTGTAGAACTATCTGGGAGGAATAAGTTCCCAGGTTCTATTGCACTGTAAGGTGACTACAGTTAACAATATTATATTGTATACTTCAAAATACTAGAAAAGAGTTTTTGAATGTTCTCATCACAAAAAACCAATGAATGTTTGAGGTTACGGATATATTAATTGCCCTGTTTTCATCATTACACAATGTATACATGTATTAAAATATCACATTGTATCCACAAATATGTACAAGTATTACCTGTTAATTAAAAAAATATTAAAGTAAAGCTGTGTGTAATGCCTCCTTTATTGACATGTGTCTGTTTCAGAAGGGACGATGGCCAGCATCTTTTTTTTGGGGGGGGTTCTTCCTGCCCAGGGGAGTCCAAGCTACCCTAAAACTTACAATCTCAGGTAATTAGTCAGTAAAAAAAGCACAAATACTCAGAAATATATTTACAGAAAGCAAAGACCTTGATAGATCTAGTCCACATGGGTTCTGGAGCCAGACAAAGTCAAGATGGCTCTAATGGTTTATTTAAGGGGATACATCAAAGGCAGGGATAAGGTTTCAAGGGTGGAGTCTTGCTTTGTGATGTCTTGCAGTCAGGAGGTTGATTGACATCTTGGCAGGTCACACCCATCTCAGGTGCTGTGTCGGCCCACAAGGCAGATGGGGAAAGAGATCCACATTGTCTCTGGGAGAGGAGATGTCCACTGGCCATTTTCAGACACCAGATGTCTCTATCTCCGAGGCTTCCATGCACAGTGACCCACATGCAACCCATGGATGGCTCCTGACATGTCTATGTTTAATGGACTGACTCAATGTTACAAATGGCATGAATGAACCTGTGGAGTGCACGAGCAGCCGTGGGAACTGAATGCATGCCAGGAAAGAGACAAAAAAAAAATCTATAAAAAACAGACACAAGAATTAAAAAGGACCAGACATGATGGCATATATCTATAATCTCAGCTACTCAGAAGGCAGAAACAAGAGGATTACCAGTTCAAGGGCGGCCTAGGCAACTTAGAAAGACCCTGCATCAAAATAAAGTAGAAAGGTTTGAGATTCAGCTCACTGGTAGAGCACCCTTCTAGTACGTGCTAGGCTCTGGGTTTAGTCCCCAGTACCCCACAAACCCAACCATGAAAAGGTATAGTTTTTATGTAAGGGGAAATCATCAGATGATCCTCAATGCACCCCGAAGGTAATCAATGTGTTATTGGAATCATCTTGAAAGGATCATTTGAGTATTATCTGCTTTATGAGGTAAGTATGTACACTTTAACACATGTACCTCTAACAGACTTTCAACAAAATGATTGCTTTAAATGTCACATGACTAAATGGCAAGTCTCTTCATTCCTCACAAAAACTGTATCATATGAAAAGATTTGTTTCCCTGTCCAATAGCTGGGATGTATTTTATCTTTAAAAGAGTATGCTGCCTGCTTCATGAATTTTCCTATGATTTTATAGCTACCATTCTTTTTTTTTTTTTAAAGAGAGAGTGAGAGAGGAGGGAGAGAGGAGAGAGAGAGAGAATTTTTAATATTTATTTTTCAGTTCTCGGCGGACACAACATCTTTGTTGGTATGTGGTGCTGGGGATCGAACCCGGGCCGCACGCATGCCAGGCGAGCGCGCTACCGCTTGAGCCACATCCCCAGCCCTTATAGCTACCATTCTGACATTTTTCATATATATATTTTTAGTTGTCATTGGATCTTTTATGTATTTATGTACGTATATATTTATTTATTTACATTTGGTGCTGAGGATCAAACCCAGGACTTTACACATGCCAGGCAAGCACTCTACCACTGAGCCACAACCCCAGCACCCCCATTCTGCCATTTTTATTTATTTATTTATTTATTTTTTGGTACCAAGGGTTTAACCCCAGGCCACTTAATCACTGAGCCACATCCCCACCTCCTTTTTTATTTTTTATTTTTGAGACAGGATCTTGCTAAATTGCTTAGGGCCTCCCTAAATTGCTGAGACTGGCCTTGAACTTGTAATCCTCCTGATATGTTGGGATTTCAGGTATGCACCACTGCACCCAGCTTATTCTGCCATATTAAAAAATCACATATTTGTTAGAAAGTGTACTACTTCCTTAAACTTCTAAATTCAGGAAGTTTCCAAAAGAGTCTAAACTTCAATGTCAAGGAGCCACAGTTCTTCATGAATTATGTAATATAATTCAAGATTCAAGGGAAATGTTTATGGTTTACAAATCTCTAAATCTGCAAACATTTTTCACAACCTTATAAATAAAATTAATATAAATCTGCATTACAGTAAGAGCTTAAAGTATTTTAAAGATGTGTTTCAACTGTGACAAAAGGAAAATAGAATGGCACTTTGTGGTAGAATTTAAACCAAGAAAAGTAACATCATTTACTTGTAGATACTACGTACTCATAGGCACTATGATTGAAGGCATAAATTTAGCTATGAGACCATTTTTATAGTTAAAGCTTGGGCAGCAGAAGCATTCTTTCATCTCTCATCATGAGTAGGACCACTACCTGATTCATCTTACTTACTCATTACACTACTACATACTTATAAATAAGTAATGATCTTTATACGACTACCATTGTCATGACCACATCTGAACTTTCACACCCTCTTGGTGGCTGCTATACATATGAATGAAGTAAGAAAAGCAGAGAATTTGGAGACAGACTGGGTTTGAGTTCTAAATTTGCCTCATTCTAGCTGCATGACTTTAAGAAATTTACTTAACTTCCTTATGTCAGTCACTTTGCCCAGGTTATAGGGAGCATAATACCCACAGTGTGTTATGAGAGTTAAGTATTTGTAAATAACCTCTGTGGACCACAGATTTTAATTTTTTGCTCAAATCTCCTCACTGTCAGAGGATGATCTTCTTTCTGCTTCACACAGAAAAGTAAACGGTATAAAACGTATCCTATCAATTCTTTTTGATATCTCTTGCTCCCACTACTATATTGAAGATTCTCTCATTTGAAATCACTGGGAGCTTGCTAACTGCTAAATCCTTAAAAGTCTTCATTCTATCTATCCTCTCCACTGCATCACTGTATTAACCATTCTCCTTGAGATGTTTTGCTTCCTAGTCTCCTCTGAAGCCATTTTTGCCTACCACATTTCCAATCTATTTTTACTAATTTTAGTATGATAACAAATGCAAGGTCAGTAGCAGAAAGCAGTGAATGTTAAGTCAGGCCAGTTTTTGTGATCCAAGAAGGGAGTCCAAAAACAACCAAGGTCAATACCGGGAAAACAATGAAGCCATGGAGCTGATGTGCCAGGAGTTATATTGTAAAACTGCAGCCAAGGATCGGGAGCTGGAGATCACCACCAAGCTAAAAGTATCACACAGGCAGCAATTCCTTATGTAGTCCAATTGCATTTTTTTTTTTTTTTTTTTTTGGCTCCCCTGGTAGGGTCACAGTAAGTTGTTTAGGGCCTTTCCAAGTTGCCCAGGCTGGCCTTAAACTTGTGATCCTCCTGTCTCAGCCTCACAAGTCACTGGGATCACAGATGTGCACCAAACCCATGTCCAACTACTTTTGCCTGGCAACTTTTACATTTTTACCTGACTTTTTATGAGCTGAGCACATACATAGTTCAAGCAGGGTGTTAACAAAACTGACATGTATCTTCCACTATTTTTCATTTTGAGTTGTTAAATTGTTCCCTAAGGTCCTATTTCTTGGACTCCTCTTTCAGTCTACACATTTAGCCAGCATGATCTAATTCAATTTCATTTTTTAACAGCCAAGTTATCTTAAATTTCTAGAGTGTCTTCTGGGTGTTCTTATCTATATGTCCCACAGTTTTTGCAGCTCAGATGCTAAACCAAGCTTTGTACCTGCGCTTCCTAAAATGTTGCCTCCAGCCCGGCATCACTGCCCGTACAACCTCTTCCATTAGAAACCATGATGCCATTCTGTTTGTTGACATCCAATATGTCACTAAGAGCTTTAAATATAATTAAGTGTTCATTATCATTGTTATTAATATTATGACTGCCTTTTATCTAGCCCTTGGGCTGAGCACCCTGCTAAATTCTTTATATATAGATTACCTCATCTAATCCTCATAATAGCCTTTAATAATAGCTGTATGGGTGCTGCTATTATCTCTATTTTAGAGATGAAAAGTCTGAGGTTCAGCATATTTAAAATATTCTCCCTTGCTTTAAATAGTTGCTCCATTTACCCAAAAATGAATCCAGGTAATTTGACTCTGGATCCTGCCCTCTTGCCACTATATTCTGCTGCTTCTTTGCTCTACTGAGCCTTTCTCCTGAAAGTCTCACTGATTCAACCGTTCTCTGGCTACAAGCACACAAAATTACATAGCTGAGCTCTAAGAGTAGATGGATTTGCATTGAAGTCCTGTGACCCCGGCTTGCTGTGTGACTTTGGACAAGGAACCTGACCTTCTCTGCCTGTGATTCCTCATCAGGGAAAAAACAGATACTAGTTACATTTCAGGTTGGTTATAAGGTTTCAAATGAAATAATATCAATGACAAAAAAAAAATGAAAACTTAGCTTTACCCATGTAAATTCTACAAGCTTAAGCACTATTATTATTATTCTACTCCAGTATAAACTCGCAAACATTTTCACTTTGTTTCAAAAGACTTCTAACAGATCTCTGTGACTTGACCCCATAAATTAATTTTTTTTCCATTGTTGTCAGAATTATTTTTCAAAAAGCTCAATCTGACCATGCCACTTCCCTGCCTGAAAGTCCCCGATGTTCCTTTTCTTGTGGGAATAGCCTTTGATGTCATATTGAAGCATTCACTTAAAATGGAATCAACTTCTTAAAACTGGAATGACATCTGCTACTCCTTTCTCTTTTATTTCCTGCTCCTCTCTCAAAAGAAGCCTAGTTTTCATAAACATCAGATTATTCTTTCATGGACTCACCAGTGCTTTTGATGCCTTGGGGCCTCTTTGTGCTTCCCTTTTCTCATAGAAAACTCCTACTTGTCCTTCAAAATCCAGCTTTTCACCATGGTTTCCCCTAGATCAGAATCTAATACTGCCATATCCCAATCCCTATGCTACTGAAAGTACTTTAATCCCAATATTTATCAAACTAATTTTGCAATTACTGAATTGCAATGACTTTCTCCAGGGAAAAGTTCACTTCTGAATAAAAATCAGTCTAATGTGGTGCATCGTACTGTGTCTGGTATATTGTAGGCACTTGATATATATATTGCTGAAATAACTGAAAGTGTATTGTTCTTACAGTCTACAAAGCTTTTTCACATACTTATTTCATCACATGATCAGGATATACAATCATAAGATTGGACACAAGAGGCTGTTTTTTTTTTACTCTTATTAAAAATTGAGACTTTATTAAATCTCTTCAACATTTCCCCCTAATTGCAGAGTTTTAAAAATATACAAAATAACACCTATGCTTTAAAAAGCTAAAATGAGCACATGGTTCATATTTTAAGAATGAGGTGATTATAATAATCTACATAATTACCTGTGGGCATTGGTAAATACATTGCAGCTTGATAACTGTGCTCCACTTCAAGTTCAGATTAGAATGTTCCTTTATTTTGTTAGGAAAACAGCTATTTTCAAGTGTCAGGTTAAAACCTGAAATGAAAGGAACTCTTTGGAATGACAGTAGCATTCCTATGTCTTTGTAGTTTCTATCCATTTTTGTTTTTAATGTGGCAAGAACAATTCAGTGGTCTATTATTTCTCTGAATTCCCTGAAAACAATTGAGCAAAAGTAACCTAGAGCAGTGTTTATCAAAATGTAAGTAATGATTCATTTAGTGGCACAGAAAATCAATTGTGTAATCACAGCAATTTAAAAAATGAAATGGCATAGGATATTCTAGAATGTGCTGCATGATGTAAGGGCATGACTTCTTGTGAAATCTTCATTTCAATTGTGTGTTTACTGGCCTGGGAAGTAAAATATATTTCCCACTGTGGCATGTAAATCCCACTAGATTGGTCCAAAAAGTTTGAAAGACAATGCCCTATATGACCTAGCAATATTGCTCAAAGAGTGGGATCAATTCCAAATATCCACTTAATAAAATTAGCTTAATAACCTGATAACCCTCCCTGCTGGGTCCCCAAACTCCAGTTATATCATCATAACCCCCACACAAAACCTGATTCATTCACTGGAGTTGGCTCCAAATAACATTTAATAACTTCAAAAAAATCGAACCTACTTCCAAAAAATTGAACCTATGTCTAAGAGATGTACATTTACTATTACAGGAACTGTGCAGAAGAATTTTCCAAAAATACTGAAGTCAATACAACAAACAAATAAGCAGTTTGAAAAAGGTTTTAAGTAAAACAACATCAATAAATTTAGGTTAAGATCACTATATCCTAGGACTGCTCCTAAAGTTCTGTTTTCATACCATTATATTTAATTATAATTATTGCATTTTTTCCTGCCACTGAAACTCTACCCTTATCATAGAGGAATCTTATTTTATTATTTCTGTATTCTCAAGTGCCTTTATATACGTATTGTCTAGAACATAATAGACATTTAACAAATGTTTGTCAAGGAGACAGTACTCATTTGGATAAATATATGTCCTGAAACTTAATGAATGACTGACTTAGTGTTGTAGCATATTCAAAGGCTATTCTTGCTCACTTAAAGAATATACTTTTCTAAGCCTCTCAGTTTTATGAAATAGGGCTATATTGGAGTCTGAAATGCACAAATTTTAAACAGTTTTTGATATCAGAATATCATGATTGCAAGCAGAGAAATAAGCACTCTCTTATCATGCTTACAATGGTAAAAAGTGAGGGAGGTAGTTTGGAAATGCACATCCCAAATCTTTCAATATGCAGAATTTATTCTGTGCAAAAGTAAAGGTCTTCAAATATGGACACAAGGATATTAAATTCGATGCTGTTTACAACAGATAAAAATGTCTACCACCTGAAGATTAGTGAGGTATATTATGATAATTCTTACAATTGAATAATGTGCAGCTATGAATAATAATGATGTTTAATTACATTAGCATTGAAACGGGCTCGGGCGATATACTGTAAAAGACAGGAAATAGAGCGATAAACTACAGAATATCATTTAAATTTTTTATAAGGTGAACTTCATATAACAAAACCAGCCAGTTAAAAAGGAACAATTCAAAAGCCATTTTGAATACATTCACAATATTTGGCAACTGCCACCTCTATTTATTTCCAAAACAGTTTTATTGCTCTGAAAGAAGTCTATATCCATTAAGCAGTTGTTTTCATTACCCCTTCCTTATGGCCCCTGGTAATTCCCAATCTTCATTCTGCTCTATGGATTTGCCTATTTTGGATATTTCATATGAATGGAATTATATATTATGTGGCCTCTGTTTCTGGCCTCTTCCATTTAGTGTTTTGGAGGTTCATCTTCCTTGTGGCAGTACTTGTTTTCACAGTTGAATAATTTTTCATTGTGTGTGTGTTTGTGTACGCACACACATATTTCACAATTTATCTTTTTATCACTTTTGATGAAAAGATGGATATTCATAGCTGTTATGAACATAGGTATATTGCTGAACATTATTTTAATGATACAAGTGTTAGCAGAGAATTAAATTCAAGAATATTAACAACCATTTTTGGGGGTGGAGGGATAATAGGTGAATCATTTTATATTATTTAGAACATTGGGCCCTAGAATTAATTGGACCAGGCTTCATTCCCCACCCCCCACACCCCAGCCCCCATTTGGGGGGATTAAACCCAAGGTACTTCATCTTTGACATCCTTACAACCCTTCTTTATTTTTTTGAGACAAGATCTCACTAAATTGCCCAGGCTGGGCTGAAATTTGTGATCCTCCTTACTCAGCCTACTGAGTCACTGGGATTACAGGCGTGTGCCACGGTGCCTGCTGACTCCATTTCTTCATGTGTAATACGAAGAAAATAATACCTACTTAATTGGATTATTGTAAAAAGTAAATGGAATATATGTAATTAATTAGAAATATGTGGGGGGCTGGGGATATAGCTCAGTTGATAGAGTGCCTGTCTTGCACGCACAGGCCCTGGGTTCAATCACCAGCACCACACAAAGTGGGGCACATGGTAAGTACTGAATTCATAGTATGCTTTAAAAAATTGTATTTTTGTTCATACTTTTTGATTATGTTTATTTAAAACTTTTCCTCCTACTGGATTACAATAGTAATAGTTAAATAGTATTTGTGTGTGTGTTTATGTGACAGAGACAGATTTGAATGCTATACACTTAAGAAGCCTGTTCCCCTTGCTGATGGTCATTTGACTACTGAATTGTTCTGGTGACCTCACTTTGATTATAGTCCTATAATGTAACTCTTCCTTCAAATTTCAATTCAAATAATGTTCCAAGTACGTATTTTCCAGTATTCTGCCACAGCAACTCTTCCCTTCTAGGAGCGTTTCAGCATTGCTTTAGATGCAACCATCCAGTTTCTAGTCTCGGCAACTGTGCGACAAGTACTGAGGGACGGTGGAAGGGCACAGGTTTTCTCCTACACACACATCTAGAAAAATACATCACAATCAGGTTTTACCGCGTGTATGATTTTTTTCCCCCAGGATAGCCCTCCCTTTGCTTCCTAGAAAACCACATTTTATCTCTTATTGTAAATTCAAACTTTGCCAAATATGCACACCTTGAACACT